AGATATGAGACAGAAAATATCATGATGTCACTATTTAAAGCCATGGTACACCCACACCTTGAATCCTGCATGCAGTTCTGGTCATCCCATCTCAAAAAAGATCTATTAGAAATGAAAAAGGTACAGAGACAGGCAAAAAAGTGATTATGGGCATGGAACATCTTCCATATGAGGAGAGATTTAAAAGGCTTGGACTGTTCAATTTAAAAAAGAGATTTAGGGGATGTATGATAGTTTTCTAAAATCATGACCAGTGTGGAAAAAGTAAATAAGGAAATGTTATCTACCACTTTGCATAACACAAGAACCAGGGGTCATCTAATGAAATGAATAGGCAACAGATTTAAAAACAAAACATAAAGAAATATTTCTTCACATGACACGCTGTCAACCTGAAGAACTCATTGCTAGGGAATATTGTGAAGGACAAATAATTAACTGTGTTCAAAAAAGAAATAGGCCAGGTCTACACTACATACTTTTACTTTAGTATAACTATATCACTCACAAGTATGAAAAATCCACATCCCTGAACAATGTAGTTATTCCAGCTTTAATCCCTGATGTAGACAGAGCCAGCATAGCTATTGCCTTTTGTGGAAATGGAATTATTAAGCCAGTTTGAATGCTCGTTCCCTTTGAGTTTAGGGTGTCTTCACCAGAAGCTCTACAAGGGTGCGCCTACACTGCACTGTAGGTTGACAAAAAATGTGCAATTTGAATTACACAAATTGTGTATCTTATTTTGATGTTATTTCAAAATAGCTTATTTCAAAATTTGGTACTGTCTACACAGCACTTGTTTTGAAATAAATGGCTATTCCGAAATGTCCCTTACTCCTTGTGGAATATGGTTTACAGGGATGTCGGAATAGCAACCCCGTTATATTTCCAGATAACGGGTGCACTCAAAAGCTGTGGAATATTCAAGTATTCTGAAATAGCACTGCAGTGTAGATGTAGCTCAACAGTGCAGCTGTGCTGATGCATGTCTGTAGTGTAGACATGCCCTCAGATAAGTTTGTGGAGGATAGGTCCATCAGGGGCTATTAGCCAAGATGATCAGAGGTGCAACTCCATGATCTGAGGGTCCTAAGGCTTTGACTGACAGAAGAATTGGGCATTTATCAAGAGAGCCATCGTCTGTCTTCCACGTTCCCTCTGAATTATTTAGCATTGGTCACTATCAGAAGACAGGATCCTGGCCTTAGATTGGGATGAGCTAACTTGTTGGTCCAAGGGCCACGTCTAAGTAGGGAAACTGTTTGTTGGGCCATGAATGTATGGCTGGGGCAGGCAGTGGGGCTGCGACCACGTCTAAGTAGGGAAACTGTTTGTTGGGCCATGAATATATGGCTGGGGCAGGCAGTGGGGGTGGGAGGTGCAGAAGAGGGCTCAGGGCAGAGGGTTGAGATGTGGGAGGAGCTTCTGGTAAGGGGGTTGTTTGCAGGAGAGCCTTCAGGGCTGGGGCTGGAAAGTGGGAAGGGGTGAGGAGTGCGGACTCCAGCCAGGCACTGCATACCTCAGGTGGCTCCCAGTTGGCAGTGCAGTGGGGCTGGAGTAGCTGGCATGTCCAGCAGTGGCTCCTGGAGGTGGGAGGGGGACAGCTGGCTCCGTGTGCTGTCCCTGCCTCCAGGCACTATCCCCACAGCTTCCATTGGCCATGGTTCCCTGGCTAATGAGAGTTGCTGGGATAGCGCCTGTCGATGACAACAACTCACAGAACCCTCTGCCCCCATCCTCCTGGTGCTGCAGGGATGTGCTGGCTGCTTTTGGAAGCAGCACGGGCCCCTGACAGGCAGGGAGCCTGCCTTATCCCCACTGTGCTACTGGAATGCCTAAAGGCTGGATTAAAAGCCCTGACCATACAGATGCAGTCCGCAGGCTGTACTTTGCCCACCCTGCCTTAGATGGACTTGGACTTGACCCACTGTAGCTGTTCTTATGGTAACCAGAATTGTTAACGGTATGCAGATGATGTTTTATCAATGCCTTGTATGATGGCATCAGTATTTCCATGCCTTGTTCTTCTCCTGTATTGATTACTGTATTCTCCTCTTCAGCTGCTCTGCTCTTCACTTCTTCTCACTCCAGTTCTGTCCAAAAAACCATTACTAAATTCTAATTATTATTGTGGCATTCTAACCATGGTGAGCACCTAAAATGAGGGTCTTACATTTTTGTTTCTTCTCAAATTCTGTGCCACTGTCTCCTTTTGTTCCCACTCAGACACAGAATTTTTTTTCAGTCCATTTTCATCTTTTTTCTTCACTCTCAACCTGTCTCTTATTCTCTTTCCTTTTGTCCACCAAGCATAATTTTTCTTTCCTTTCATTTTGGTTCCTCCTTGAAAACAGTTTCTTCTAAAAAGCCATTGTTGGTTCTCTCATGGCGACCTCCCGCATCCAAACTCTTACGCTATTTCTTGTCTATCTTAATTTGTACGTTAACTGAGGCAGGAAATATGACTTTGTCTATAAAACAGCATGCACAATGTTAGGCCTATTGAAAATAATAAATCCAGGCATATGTTTCTAAACTTTTCCTTGATCTTTGTTTTCCAGGACATGGTGTCTCAGAAAAACACAGTAAGTATTAAATCTTAATATTTTTAACATAATGTGAGGATGCCACAAATGATTTAACTTCAAGTGACTAACATGAAAAATACCACTGGGTATTGCATAAGTGGGAATGCAAAGTCATGCAGTAGTTGCTATACAATAATCAAGAAGGCTGCTTTCTTTAGGTACAGTGTAAATTACAGAAAATCATGCTGACTTCTTTTCTAATATATGTTACTGGTGATAGTTTCAGAAAGTAGTTTCTTTGTGACTGCTGGGAAGATGTACACAATAGATTTCATTTTTTGCTCCCGGTGCCTCTGGTCTGCTGGGGACCATCTCCAGCAGACCAGGGACACCGGGAGCAAAGGAGGCGGAGGGGCGCTGGGGTATAAGATGAAACCCTATCTTTTAATTAAAAAGATAGGGGGTCGTCTTATACACCCAGTCGCCCTATACGCCGGAAAATACGGTATATGTTACTGGTGATAGTTTCAGAAAGTAGTTTCTTTGTGACTGCTGGGAAGATGTACACAATAGATTTCATTTGACTACATGACCCAAGAGGTCGGTGAAAAAGCTTGAGGCAGATTTTGATAATGATTATATATGGTAGATGGACAACCAAGACTGCTCATTTTAAAAGTTTTGGGTTTTTCTGTGTGTTTGGTTTTTAGCTGTGATGCTTTTTAAATTCCAGGAAACATATATAGAAAGATTCATGGTTCTTACAAAAAGAAATATGGTTCTTAAAACAAAATTGTTAGTATTACGTATTCTTACCAATTAAGACTAAACAGACCAGAAAACCTAGTCCAATTTAAAACACATTTGGATGTTTTAGTTCTGTACTATATGCATTATATATGTAAACTAATGTTAAAGGATGATTTAGCTCTTTCTGTGGTTATGTAGCTTATGACATTTTAGATCATATAAGTGGCCATTCTCAATTTAATACAGTATTGTCTAAAGTTGAGAACTAACTGTTACTTAGTAGAGATCCAAAACCTTGCTTTTTTAACACTTTTAGTTTTCATTCGCACATTCACCTAAGACTTTTATTCTATTTTGCATTACAGAGCAAGAATAAAGACACTAACATGTTAATTTTTCTTTGAAAACAAGCAGTTTTAAAACTTTTAAATCAGAGCTACGGGTTAAATTTGGTAGCTATAAAGCACAGCGTAGATTTAAAAAACTACTGTGGATACCAGTGCATATAGGGCTAGATTAAAGTAAGAATATGAGTAAGAGGTGTTATGCTCTCAACCCATTTACTTTACCTACCTGGTAAGGCCTCATTGTAGCTCCAGATGTAGAATGAAGTGAGCTCACTATTGTCTGTGAATATGCTCCCTGCAAATACAAAGGGTCAGGTGGAACCCTTGTTTCTGCTCTAGCTGGCCTGAGCAGCTGACTAGGTACTATAAGGAGACATAAATTGACCTTTTCAAGAGCTACACTATTTGTTGCATCCATACCCAGAGCAAGAGAGGAGCAGAGGAAGCATAGTGATTGAATCTCAGTTTCTCCTCCGAGCTGATCTTGATACGGTGCAATTATGTGCTGCCTCTTCATTCAGGACTGTAACTCCTGATATCTTTGACTGAAGTGTTTACTGACTGTTGTAGTAAAATGCCATCTCAGAGAATAACTAATTTTAAATACCAAGCATGTATTCTTGACTTTTTGAAAAGAAAAAAAAAAAGAATTTGGCTTGCTTGAAATGTGATAGTAAATTATGCTTACATTTATTTTATTAATTTGTTATCTCTGATCAGTTTTATTTGAAATTACTGTTATAAAGTTGCTAAGTTAACAAACTAATTACACTAGTAGATCGAAGTTGTATAACTAAACTGAAATTACTGTTTCTCTACATAAACAAGAGTCTGTTTTCTCCCCTCCAGAAGTAACTGCATTCTGTAGACAAGATTGCAAGTTATTGCTGTTACAGTATTCTATCAATGATTCATTTGAAGCTTCTGATAAAGAGGGTTACTTCACTCTTTGAATAATTACAGTATCAGTGTACATGTAAATATAAATCAGATGAAGTGAACTGCTAATTAGCCCTTTAGGTTTAAATGGTGAATATTTTGCTACTGTGACATGTGTTTGTTTCTTGTTTAATTGTTCTCCATTGGGGAAATCCTTGCTTTAGTGTACAGCACTGACTGTGCCTTCTGTTAAGCAGTGGAGATCAGTAGGGGAAAGACTATTTCCCATCTCTGCCTTGAGCTATGTAGAATTCACAGAGTTGCTATTGCAGTTTTCAGGAAGTAGTGTTGCCTGCAACCCCTTTGTGCTTTGCTGGGAGAAGAATTGAAACCGTTCCTAGCTACATTATCCCTCTCATTCTGGCAGTGCAAACGCAGATCCTCATGTATTGTATGCTAAGTACAGACCTACTGCAGAAATATTAGGGTTGCCAGATGGTTGAAACACAAATACAGACCCTCCCCCCCCAAAAAAAAACCCAGGAAAAAATTCTGTTGAAAGGAAAAAAAGGGGGGGGAGACCAGAGTTGTTGAGCAAGGACTTATTAAGCCAAAAAAGAAATTAAATTAAAACAGCATGTCCCCTTAAGAGTGAGTGAAGGGATAGGAACAGGGGAGAGATTGGGCACTAAGACCCAGGGGAAAAGATTGCTTCCCCTAGGTCTTTTGGCTGGCAGCCATTTTGTGCTGCAGCCTTGGGGAACCAGGTAAGCATGGGGGCTGGGGTCGGGGCTAGGGAGTGCAAGAAGGGGCAGTGTAGCCAGCTCCTTCTAGTGTAAGAGCCTCTTCTGCAAAAATGGTGGCTCATTAGGTATGCAAATGAGGCTTGGCAATATTCCATGCTTAGCCTCCTTTGCATACTTCTGGTGCAACAACCTGCCAGCATAGACATAGCCCTAGGGTTTCCCTCAAGTAGCTAAGCCCTGTCTCCACTAGGAGGGTTGCCCAAAAATACCAGACACATGGGCTAAAAATTTGTCAGCAAAAAAACTCGAACACACAGCCTGTGTGGTGACTACCAAGAGCCACCGAGCTGGGAACAAAGGGGCCGCCTGCTACCCAAAGCAGAGAGGCAGATCCCAGGGCAACACAATGGCAGGGTGGGGGAGAGGGGAGGCGACCCTGGGTAGGAAGGTGACTCCCCCATAGCCAAGTCTTTGGGTGTCCCAGTGGAAGGAAGCGGGAATTCCACCCTAGTCAGTTTGGCTGAGAGCCCATGGAAAGCGCCTAAACAACCACAAAGCACCTGAGGGCTTCTGTCCTGGACTACAGCTCCACACCCTGCTTGAACAGCGCTCAGGGACAGGACTTCTCCTTCTCCTCCCCAAGGCGTCACTCCTAGGCCAGAAGCAACCAGCTGAAGGCTCCCAGCCCCCGATCACGCCTCGCCTCCCAGCTACTCTCCCCGCCCCTGCCAGGCTTCTGATGCCACCAGAGGATCGGGGCCACGATTGCTGCTGGGAGCCTCTGGTTGCGTCAGAAGCCTGGCGGGGGCGAGGGGAGTGGCTGGGAGTCCCAGCCAATCCTCCCTCCCACATCAGGCTTCCATCTGGTGCCCAGCTGGAAAAATCAGAGAATACTGGACACTGCACGTGTTTGGAATTGTCTGTTTTTGTTTTGGTTTTGGTTTTTTTTACCTGGCAGAGGGAGCAAATAGCAGACTGTCAGGTAGGATACCGGACACCTGGTAACCCTAGACACACTTGCCATTACATCACAGTCTACATTGCATCTTATTTAGAAAATACCGGACATTTATATTTTCTCAATTTGTTTCCCAAACAGAAAGCTCTAATACTGGGACTGTCTGGTTCAAAACCGGACACCTGGCAACCTTATGCAGAATCTTTTCCCTTAAGACACTAGTAGGCCACCCATGTCCTGTGGGCTTTTGTGGGCCCATTGGGGTTATACATGCGGCCCGCGTAACACTCTTCTGCCTCTTCCCTCCATGCAGGCTGAGAGCCCTGAGCTTACCTGCTCCTCCCCTTCCCTCTCAAAACTTCTGGAATGCAGTGAATGAGCTGATTCATGGTACTCCAGAAATACTGGAATGGAGGGGGATGTGCAGGGATGGTACATACTTGGGGGGAGAAGGCAGGGAAGGAGCCAGGTGGGGATTTGAGGGGAGGGGAGGAGTGAAGTGGGGGCATGGCCTGCAGTTGGGGAGGGAGGGCTGAGCAGCTCCTGGCAAAACAAGAAGCCGCACACATTTAAACCAAGAGCATGTATGAGATGCATGATGATTGCCCACCACACACAGAGCTATCTGCTTCCTCTATTACTTTTATGTTACTTTTGCCAGCAATTTAATTTGCCCCAGTAGTGGATCACTTTGTGTTGGACAGGCATGATACAGAAGGAGAATCAAGTGCAATGTAATGAATCTTATTCTTGGGGTCATAGCTAGTGCCCATGAATTGCAGTCTAGTGTCCCACTGAGATGGATGGCCACCCTTGTGGCCCATTCACTAGCCTTGGTTGCCCAATGTTGCCATAAGGACTTAATATTTTAGTGTTGTCTTTTATTCTGGAAATCTCAAATCCCATAAAAAGGAAGAAGAAAATCACAGTGTGAGAGCAGTAATTGAAATGCATAAAAATGCAGAGTAGATAGATGTCAAATGTTTTCCTTGTAGTGATTGTTTCTTAATCTTAAATAAATAAGTAAACCTGAGGAAATGATTACTGTTTTCCCGTTAAGGAAAATGTAAATCATTATACCAAACTCTGCTTCGGGGAATGAAGGAGTATATAGAGAAAGTTGAATAGAAATTGAGAACACTATATTGCAAACAGTTAAGCAGTTCATTTGGTATTTGGCCTGTATCTGTAGCTGAAACATGAAAACCACAGAGCAGCTCTGTAAGGCTGAGTAATAAGATTGCAACATAGATTTAACAGCCTATTATATGAAAAATATAAGGGTGGGAAAACTGCAAATATAGCTTCCAACATCCGTAATGAAATATTTTGAGATAAGATTGGAATAAGAGTTTGTTCTATTTGACTTCCCCAAAGCAAGCAATTAAAATTCTGCATTGCTAATTTACTGCCCCACTGAGATGTTTAAAGCATGCAGTATGCAATTCGGAGCTCAGTTCCCAAGACTGAATTGAGCTCGCATGTTATTAAAGGTCAAAATTCTCCATATCCCTTCCATTAGGTATTTCTTCTTGTGTGGAACTGATTGTAGCC